GAGGATCGAGTATTCATTGCAAACTGCCCGTTGCCTAGTGAACTCCGGCTTGCNCTGTCCCCTGCTGCTTGTACTTCTACCTGTCCGTCTTCGACGCTTCTCAGAAATTTTCTGAAAGGTTCTATACTACCAGCCCATATGAGAAAGTGGTCGGTCGAACCTATGTCTATCGCACTTACGTGCAGCTCTGGGATCTGCGTGCTCCCCCTATCTACCAGGATGTAGTCGAGGATTGAGTATTCATTGCAAACTGCCCGTTGCCTTGTGAACTCCGGCTTATCGCATTCCCTCCTACCGTTCAACACCATCAGTTCGTTGCTTCCCAAGAATTCAAGCATCCTCACTCCGTTGTCATTCACTTTGTCTTCTCCGTGCTGCCCGATCGCCTGTCCTCTACTGGAAGCTTTCCCTACTCTGGAGTTGAAATCGCCCACCATGACAACTTCTCCCTTCCTACTGAACCTCTGGACATCTTCCCCAATTTGTCCAAAGTTCTCCTGCGCCTTGCTTGCGACTTTCTTCGACGACGGTGCGACGTATTCGTTCCCTAGAAACAAATCTTTCTCACCCCGCTCCCCAGGTATCTTAAGCCATAGGCTTTCCTCGAACTCCGTTTTCACCACTACTTCCACCACGTCAAACAAGTGTTCCTTGACCAGGAATCCGACTCCCCCCTCCCCCCTTTTCTTCGGGTCTAAGCCCTTTCTTGCCTTCCCTACCCACCGGTATTTCCCTAGTTTGCTTACCACGTCACCATCCTTCAATTCCCACGTCTCTTGGATCCCCACTACATCTAGATCGCTTTGTTCTACTTGGTCCACTATTTCCAACCGCTTGCGCTCACTCCTTGCGAACCCGCACACGTTCCACGACCCGACTCTCAGCTTGCGCTTTTCCCTATTGGAGATTTTGCGCACACTATCGTTCGCCTTCCGCTTCTTCTCGGACTTCTTCTGACTTGCCTGCTCGCCTCCCCCGCTCGTTCCTTTCTTCGCCTCCGTCGCCTTCGCCTTTTGTCTCCTTACCTTCTCTGTTTCTATCATGTTCGCGATGCAAACCCTCCATCCAAACTTCCTTACGTACTTCAACAGCTTCTTNCAAACAGCAGCAGCTCCAACTTGTCTCTCTTCCACAGTTTCTGCTTCCATTCTCG